ACTCGAGGCTTCACGAACGGACATGATCTTTCTAGAATCTCATGACGTGTTACTAGAGTGACGTGACTTCCGCTGTCGTAACACTATTTTGAAAAGCGGTGAGTTGCAACAAGACATAATTATAGTTTATTCTCTGTAATTAGTTATCATAAGCTTGGGTGGTATACACTATTTGTTTTAGAGTTTAGCTTGAATTTTTCTGGAAAAGTAGCGTAACACTTGTCTGACCAACAAATCTTTAATCAAATATTATTTAAACTTTCTAGAAAAATGTGATTTTGTTTTTTACATCCTTGCACGTTTGAATATTTATTTTATGAGATAAATTTACTTGTTTTCATTCCTGAACAACTAAAATTCAGTAAGTTGTTCTGATTAAGTACGGAACTTCCACTAAGTGAATTGAAACTTTTTTATTATTTCGTTACAGCTTGTGAGCTATCTATTAATTCCAAAGCGAAACCAAGTGCTTAACATGTTATAAAACAGAATCCAAACAGAGTTCTGAGAATCGATCATCATTTCAATTTTAATGCCTTTACTCTAATTATTACTTTCAGTTTTGACAGTTTTTTTTTTCCTGTAGATTTTCCAATTTGGCCATTTTCTCTGTTTTGTTCGCTTTCTTCCCAATTTCATTCCAAACAGTTTATTTTCCGATATATCTGGTTGAGTATTTGCTTCCTTGTCTCTCCTGCTCTCCCTTCATAATGTTTTATATACTTTCAATTACTTTTTATCTCATTTACGTCAGTTTGTTTTCTTTTGAGTTTTCAGTTAATTGTCTTGAGTACCAATCATTCGTGTTTTGAAGAAGGTATAAGTTTACTCTCAACGTCTTGTATTGTTGTATTATGCAAACATCTGTTAATTTGCTTTCTAATTATGCATTACAACTTTGTTTGAAAGTTGGTATTCCATTTTTAGATGACGCTAGTCTTTTGGATATTGGTGAAGATTATTCAATATATTTTGATTATGCCAGGTTATAAAACTAACCCGGTTTCAGAAGAAAGGGTAATCACATAGTTAGAATTTAAAAAGTGTCAAGCCAGTAAGAATGCATATTGTTTTATGAGCAACATTTTACGTTGTAAGTTTTTCTTGTGTAGTACAAATTTAAAGATTATGTACTATTTTATAACACAGACATTTGTATTAAGCAGAACAAAAGCATAAAACAACATTGGAGCTGTATCAGGGTGCTTGACAAGCATGTTGTCGAAAATGGATTGTTCTGATTCCAGTTTCGTCTGCCATGTTTCTAATGAAAATATTCATTAATTTTGAGGTATAGATGTAATTTAGTGAGACTTCATCAGCTTCAAACTATCGTTGAATATTTTGTTCATGGTATCACGAGATGCACTCAGTTTCATCGTAATGGAATTATGAGTTGGGTTTTCTTTTTTAAATATAGCCTTCATTTGCAGATGAGGATGTTGCTCAGAATCAGATTTTAAATGTGGATTCAAAGCTTGTTGCTATTCTAACTGTTCTGTTTCCATGAAAATTCTCTTCTTCGAAGTGTCGTGTTCTTGGCTTTACATTTTTTTTTCCCTCTAGCTAACATCTAAATTACAGCAGTAATAATGTGACGGTCAATCCCACTATTCGTTGGCGGTGGGTGGTGATGACTAGCTGCTTTCCCTCTAGTCTTACACTGCTAAATTAGGGACGGCTAGAGCAGATAACCCTTGTGTAGCTTTGCGCGAAATTCAAAACAAACACAATTGAACGGAATAACTTCCTGAAATTTTCATTCTTCCAGTTTATTTACCTTGAAATAATCATAATCCAAACTAGGTCCACTTTATATCGACCAGATTTGATGTTTACACATCCAAAAGTTTTATAGTTGGTATGAACAGCTTCTGAATATTATAACATTTAACTCATTAATTTTAAAAGTCTCTCTCACGCATATAGAATTATCGAATAACCTTTAGTTACTTTCAGTTCACACTGTCTTTGAATACTTATTGACTAAGGTTTAATTAATTCATTCGCTAATACTTTATTCTAATTCATGTCCTAAAGATTTCGTTTTCTTCTTTGGCACAAAATGTCATTACATTTTACTTATTGTTTTGTATTTGTTAATTCGGTAGCGTATCGTCGCAGATACGAGGTCTGGCGCTCCATGAGACATGTTTTGGCAATTATGTATTTAATTAATGCTTGAAAAATTTCAGACTATTCGATGATGCAATGCTGCCATGAGTCAGTTAGGTATGGATAGATACTAAAACACTTTTCGAAAATAAGTGTTTATAAAGCGGGTTTTTCGGATGACGTTAAGAACATGTAAGTTCTAGAATATCTACAACATTTAGAAGTGTTAGTGATCGAGAGATTTTGCAAAGTGTCTGGAAACTTGGCTACGGACATAAGTACGATATACAGTTAGTATAGAGATGGTGAATAGTGAATGAGTATTGAGTCAGTCATTTTAGTTCAGTGACTAATGGGAGTATTTGCATTTGAAAGTCATTTGTAAACGTAAGCCTACAAGTTGCAACAAGTGTACAAGCTTCGAATAACGCTAAGGAAGGAATAAATTAATTTGTTGTCGTCAAGTGGACTGGGTTTCGAATTATTTTCACCATTAATGATCGTTTTTCGGTCCTGATTAGTTTATATAAGTAATTCTACAAAATAGTACAAAAATCAATTTACAAGTTACACTAGACAAGATTTTCTCTTCTTTCTTACGAATATGAGTGTTTTTCTCTCAACTCTCAATCTTACAC